GACAGAGCGGAGTTTAGGGCTGTTGTACATAGGGTCACTATGAGTCGCAAGCGACTCGACGGCACATAACAACAACAACAACAACAGTCATTGTCCAGCTCTCTGATGCATAGCAGGTGATTTGCAAAGACCACAGTGTATCAGGCACAACTTAGTCTCCAGACTGACATCGTTGCTCTTCAGTACTTTAGAGAAATCTCTAATAGCAGTCATTCCCATCACAGTACGTATTTTCATTTCCTGGCTGCTGATGCCAAGAGTGTTGATTGTGGAGCCAAGTAAAGTAAAGCTGTGAACAATCTCAATCTCTTCACCATCTGTCTTGATGCTACCAGTTGGCCCAATGGTGAGTATCTTTGTTTTTTTTTTTAAAATTTATTATTAATTTCGGTAAAAATTTACAGAGATTAGATTGCCATTCATTCATTGTTTGACTTTTCTTCCCTCCCAAACCTCCCCGTATTTTTGTTTCCTTGATGTTGAGCTTCAATCTATATTGAAGAATACAGTCAAATAGTTCAGTCAAGTGTTTCAGGTCCTCTTTAGTTTCAGCAAATGAGGTTATGTCATCTACATATCGAAGATTGTTTGATAAATCTTCATCTATTCCTGATGCCATATTCATCCTCAGCCTCCTGAATGATCTGTTCTGTATACAGATTGACAAGATATGGAGATAGAGCACATTCCTGATGCACTCCTTTCTCCATTTTGAACCTTGCAATGTTTGCTTGCTCTATTCTGATGCCTGCTTCCTGGTCCAAGAATATGATTCACATGAGCACAGTCAAATGTTCTGGGATTTCCATTATTTTCAGTATTAGCCACACGGTCAAGTGCCTTTGCATATTCAATCTTTCTTTCAGCCAGGATCCATCTGATATTGGCAATAATGTCTGTAGTGCCACAACTTTTCTAAACCAGACTTCTATTTCTGGTAGTACAGTTCCAGCCATTTTTTAATAATATTTGGCAGAATTTTGCTTACTCATGATATTATTCAATAATTTGCACACACTGTTGAATCACCATTTTTTGGAGTGGAAATAAATATGGGTCTCTTTCAGTTAGGTTCTTCTGATTTCTTGGCATAACTCGGTGAGCATGTTTAGGGCAGCAGCTGTTTCCTGAAATATGTCAGTTGGTAACCCCTCAATTCCTGGGGCCTTTTTTTTTGTCAATTCTTTCAGAGCAGTTTGAACTTCCTTTTTCATCACCATTGCCTCTTGATCATGTTGTTTCATGAAATTCTTTTGTGTCAGCCAGTTCTTTTTCATACAATGAGTGTGTACTCCTTCCGTCATCTTTTAATGCTACCTGGATCATTGAATATTCTATCCATAGCATCCTTTAAGTGTTGAAGCTTGAAGCTTCAATTTGTTGTTTAGGTCCTTCAGCTTATGAAATAACAAGCGAGTTTGTCCCTTTTAACTTCCCAACTCCAGCTCTCCACACAATTTATTATCATGCTTTGCTTTGTCTTCCCAAGCTTTCCTGTTAAGTTTCTTAACTTCCTGCTTCCTAGTTTTCACAGCTGATACTGAACTTTTCTAACGATTCTTTCAGATGGAACTGATCTGATTCCTATGAATCTGTTACCTGGTGAAGTCCATGTGTATAGGCTGCGTTTGTTTCTTCTGAAAGGTATTTGCAATGAGTAAATTACTGATTGTACAGAATCGTGTCATTCTCTCTCTAGCCTCATTAATGTCACCAAGTCCATAATTTTCAACTACTGATTCTTCTTTCTTATTCCCAACTTTTGTATTCCACTCACATTATTATTAATGCATCTAGGTTGCACGTGCATTCACTTTCCGACTACAAAAATTGGTAGAAATCATCTATTTCTTCCTCTTTGTCTCTCGTTATTGGTGCACATATTTAAATAATAAT